AGATGTAGCTCCCTAACCACTGCCCTCACCATCAAGACTCCATTGCTGGTAATTATATAAAATCTGGAGCCTTCAAAAAACTGAGCAAAGACATGAATAAAGATCACGAGGTTCAGCTTTTCTACACTACAGTAAGCTGGCTGTCAAACGAAATGTTGTGAATCGTGTTTTTGAATTGAAATCTGAAATCAAATTGTTCTTGGAAGTGCAAAGGAAACAAGACCTTTTGGTATACTTAAAACGACATAGAGTGGTCGGAGAGAGTATCATACCTAGCAGATGTATTCGAACATCAACATAAGCTTAACCTAAAGCTTCACGGAAAATGAACGAATATTATCACTTTCCATGATAATCTCGGGGCATTTTTATCAAAGCTGCAAAATCGGCGAAGAAAATATATCTTGGAAATATTGTAAATTTGAGAAACTCTGCAGTGTGGTAGACGAATCTGATTGTGAGATAATTAAAATTTTGAAAGAAGCGATTTCTGGACATCTTTGAATCTCTTGAAAACGAACTGCAGCGCTATTTCTCTGAGCTGAAAAAAGAAGAATCTGCATTTATGCATTATCCATTCTCTTCTTCCCTTGATGTTACCAGCATTCCCGATGAATTACAAGATGAATTCTTTGATTTGCAGAATGATTCCGCGAAAGATGAAAAACTGCACACACAATTTTGGTGTAGCATTCACTATTCATACCAAAACGTAATATTGATTGGCTTTTCGAGAATATATTTTCAACACTATTCTTCGATTAAAAACAAAATTAAGAATACATTGAATGTTGATAATGACATATGTTGGCGTTAACAAAAACTTAACCGCGTAAATAGCAATGCAAATTTACTCAATGGTACTGAAACAGTTATCAAGAGAAGTTCATATTGAAAGTCTACTAGAAAATCTTATTTTAGTGCTTATTAATTTCCATACTAATTTCGGCTTTTTAATTCTATGAGGGTCGCGGGTCATTTACTTTTTATAAAATGGGGTCCCCCCCCCCCCCCAAAAAAAAAAGTTTGGGAACCACTGGACTAGATCCTCTTTTAGGGACACTCTGGGTTTTGAAAATCTGCCCATGATTTAAAGGCAGCCGTGAAAATCAGTTGAATGTCCTTGGCTTGTATTTAAACCTTTGTTTACTGGTCTCTCAAAGTCCATCTTCCCGGCATACATCACGTCCACCTCCCCGGGCATACATCAAGCAAGTCTCTGGGATTCCCACACCCATCACGTGGTCTACAGAGATTTCATTTCACGTTATAACAGTCTGCAGCAGGTCAACAAAAAAACAGGCGCTATAGGTAAACAAGCAATGGTAGAGGTAAACAAACATGCGGTATAGGATTTTCGTGTTTATCAACGACCATCCATTCACCCACCCACCCACCCACCCACCCACCCATCCACCCATCCATCCATCCATCCATCCATCCATCCATCCATCCATCCATCCATCCATCCATCCATCCATCCATCCATCCATCCATCCATCCATCCATCCATCCTTCCATTTACCCATCCATCCATTCGCCCATCCAACCATCCATCCATCCATCCATCCATCCATCCATCCATCCTTCCATTTACCCATCCATCCATCCATCCATCCATCCTTCTATTTACCCATCCATTCATTCACCCATCTATCCATTCACCCATCCATCCATTCACTCATGCATCAATTCACTCATAAAATCCATCCATTCACCCATCCATCCATTTAATCATCCATCCATCTATCCATTCGCCCATCCAACCATCCATCCATCCATCCATTCACCCATCCATCCATTCAACCATCCGTCCATCCATTCACCCATCCATCCATTTACTCATCCACCCATTCATTCACCCATCCATCCATTCACCCATCCATCCATTCAACCATCCAACCATCCATTCACCCATCCATTGATTCACCCATCCAACCATTCAACCATCCATCCATCCATTCACCCATTCATCCATTCAACCATCCATCCATCCATTCACCCATCCATCCATTCACCCATCCATTCCTTCAGAAATTTAAAAAACGAAAATGTTTAAAATATTCACGAGCGACAGTTCTTGTAAAAATGAACGCAAAAAGCTATAAATAGATTAACCCTACGCTTAAATCAATACTAGTGTCAAGACACTCGACGAATCCCTAAAGCCGCATGAACACTGACAGGTTTTTAACACATGGAAGATTGGAATTGAAGGCTTGTTGTCTTCTGTCAACAAATGTACAAGTCGTGCACAACTTTTTATCACGCGTGCTCTTCAGCCAGCGGGGTAAGTGTGTTTAATATCACCTCGAGTGGACCCTGGGGGGTCAAGTTTGTCAACATATCTCCTGCCTCGTGGGGGGTGTCGGATTAAATTTAGCCCAAGTTCCCACTAATCAGGTGACTGACAATTACCTGTCCCAGGTGGGGGGTCAGGTGAACACGTGACAATGTTACATCAGGTAATACGTACTGTTGGGGGGGGGGGGGGGGGGGTCAGATAGAAAACACATTGATAGCAAGCTAGGCCTAAAATAACTTTAGTAGCCACAGTTTAATAGATGTGACGCAATAAGAACCGGACATTAACTTGCGGTCTAATTCTGTAGATGGTGGAAGATTAGCAGGCCAACAAGAAATTTTTGTATCGATTAGCTGTAAGAAAATGTTCAATGTGCTGTGATCGCCAAGCTAAAGATTTGGGGTATTATTAAGATTAAGATTAAAATTAATATTCTGATAAAAATGTTATTATTGATTAGCCGTACCATGTGCTTTTCTTGCCTGGAGTTTGGCGATAACGAAAAATAAATTGTGAAAGTCATAGGCCGTCCAAAAATATTTCTCCCGGGGGATGCTGTGTTATATGGTGGGGGTGGGGGAGGGGGGGCAGGGACTTGTGGGGCCATCTGTTACATTGTGGGAGTGGGGGGTTATACCTTTGTGACGATGTGTTACATAATGAGGGTGGGGGGTCAGACTTTTGTGACGATCTGTTACATAGTGGGGGTGGGGTTGAAGGTTTCACTAAGGTGAAGTATCTGGTGGCTAAACTTTTGTATTTTCTAAAACATAACGGCACAAAACAGTGACGTCTAGATCATATGTACATGGATGGGAGGGAGGGGGGGGGGGTGGCATTGCGTGACGAATAGTAACAATTCTGCCGTGGGTACTTATAGGTCAATACATGTAGAACTCAGTTATTGACGACATTTTGTGGCTAGGTTTAGCATTATTATTACCTTTATCGCTGAAATATTGTTATCAGTGGTGGCTAGAGAATGTGAAGGGAATGTGAAGGGAATGTGGTAGGGAATGTGAAGGGAATGTGAAGGGAATGTGAAGGGAATGTGAAGGGAATGTGAAGGGAATGTGAAGGGAATGTGAAGGGAATGTGAAGGGAATGTTAAGGGAATGTGAAGGGAATGTGAAAGGATTGTGAAGGGAATGTGAAGGGAATGTTAAGGGAATGTGAAGGGAATGTGAAAGGAATGTGAAGGGAATGTGAAGGGAATAGACACCTATGCAGAAGCTACCAGCAGGGGCTGAGATAAGGGGCGACCACCTATTCACGAGTTGGGTCCTCTACCCCAGCAATAAGGAAGTTGTGTAACACTCTGATGTGGTCCCGATGTTTGTACACTTGAAGTGGCTCTTGTCAAAACAGAGGCAGGACACTGTGGTATCGCATCGAGATTTGCCGGTATTGATGTGGTATCGTATCGAGATTTTTATCTACCGGTATTGATGTGGTATCTTAAGAAGATTTTTATCTACCGGTATTGATGTGGTATCTTAAGGAGATTTTTATCTACCGGTATTGATGTGGTATCGTAAGGAGATTTTTATCTACTGGTATTGATGTGGTATCGTAAGGAGATTTTTATCTACCGGTATTGATGTGGTATCGTAAGAAGATTTTATCTGCCGGTATTGATGTGGTATCGCAAGGAGATTACTATCTACCGGTATTGATGTGGTATCGTAAGTACTATTTTATCTACCGTTATTGATGCGATATCGTAACGGAATTTTTTGTCTACCGGTATCGATGCGGTATCATAAGAAGATTTTTATGTGAAGGTATCGATGTGGTTTCGTTACCCGATTTTTATCTACCGGTATCGATGTACATCTTGGTATAAATTTTAATTATTAAGTAAAGGTCTGAGCTAGGCTTATGGTCAGGTACAGCGTTATGATTGGTCAGCTATGGGAGCAGGGAGCGGACAACGGTCAGAGTTAGGGTTAGCATTAATTATATGTTTGATATTGGGTTAGATGACGTCTATTGTATAGAGGTCATGCATAGTTAGGGTTAGGGTTAGGGTTAGCATTAACTATATATTTGGTATTAGGTTAGATGACGTCTATAGTATAGAGGTTATGGATAGTTAGGGTTAGGGTTAGGGTTAGCATTAACTATATGTTTGGTATTAGGTTAGATGACGTCTATAGTATAGAGGTTATGGATAGTTAGGGTTAGGGTTAGGGTTAGCATTAACTATATGTTTGGTATTAGGTTAGATGACGTCTATAGTATAGAGGTTATGGATAGTTAGGGTTAGGGTTAGGGTTAGCATTAACTATATGTTTGGTATTGGGTTAGATGACGTCTATAGTATAGAGGTCATGGATAGTTAGGGTTAGGATTAGCATTAACTATATGTTTGATATTGGGTTAAATGAGGTCTATAGTTTAGAGGTCATGGATAGTTTGGCTTACTTTACTTGCAAACGGCGTAGCTTAGTTTTGTTTATTCTTTAATAAATACCGAACGATAAATTAAGCTCCAGATTAATGTTCAACTAATTCTCAATTTAGTAAACAACAGCGGCCATCTTATTAGAAAAACAAAAACAGGCTCAAAAATTAAAAAAAAAGAAACATCCAGTCAGCAGATGTGTTTGAACTAATTATAGAATTCACACATGTGACCAAAGTTACAACTATTGACCACCTGACCTAAGAAATTAACTCACACATAACTCACCTGTCGCGCGTGTCCTGACAGCTGACGTTGAGTGTACACGTGAGTACAACCAGAATGGTCGTTGTGTACACAGCTAGGTACAGGTGAAAACTCATTCTCTGTCGAATTTACAGCCGGAAGTTTTTATCAACTCTACTAGATCTAGATCTACTCTGTTTTTAACAATGCTGTTTTATCAACTCCGTTTTATTTACACTTTATGAACACCGGTTTTATCAATACTGTATTATCAACTTTGTTTATCAACCTGTGTAATCAATACTGTTGTATAAGTCAAATCTCTGATACCTCACGTTCTATCAACATTGTGTTCTTGTATCAACACTGCATTCAATACTTGTTATAAACAGGTATTGAACTGAATATATAAACTTCGAAGTCTTTTCCTTTATACTATGCATATGTTAATTTTATGTTACACGTTAATACTATATTTACATAAACTTTCTTGAAAACTAAATTAAAACTCAATTCTAGTTTTAAATTACCACACCGCGAATATAATGAATGTTGCAATATATTTGCATTATATAAACACAATTGCATTACACACATGAAACTCGTTGCACTGTTACAGTATGCGGCTTTGGCCACCGGCAATAACGTTGAATTAGTTCCTTCACATCTGTGAAATCTTTATATCGAGTCCATTCTCTCAGAGATAAACTGGTCCCAATCAAATTTCTATCACAGAGATGACGGACGTCCTCCTTGGTAAACACAACTTTCTAAGAATAGATTCCAGTCGTGAAATTCCAGCTGATTGTATCCTCCACACTCTGGCGTGTCACCCCCTCATCGCCGTGTCTATTCAAGCGTAGCCCCCTCCCTCACTCCATCTACGGCGGCAGGGAAAGACAATCCAGTGGCCGTCAATTAAAAAATTTGGGTTATCACCCGCTGTAGGCGACGGACGGCCATGATTGGACGGTTGGCTTTAGACGGTCGCGATTGACTGCAGTGCACGCGATCAGCGGAATTAGCGCGGGCGATTGACGGCAGTGCACGCGATCAGCGGAATTAGCGCGGGCGATTGACGGCAGTGGATGCGATCAGCGGAATTAGCGGGGCGATTGACGGCAGTGCAGGCACTGAAACAAAACAAAGTGGTGTTGTTGTGGTGTTGTGGTGTTGTGTTTGTGTAGCCACTAATGTGACGTCAGGTGGGGGCTAGGAGGTAACGGTTGATTGGGGGGGGGGGGAGGTAGAGGCAGAAGACTGGAGAATTTTTTGGGTAACTCATTGGTGACAATTAGAGTAATTAGCTTAATTTACCACATTCGCTTTGGCGAGGGTTGGAACGTCTCGACACTAGTACTATGAGCCATGTATTTCTGTATGGAAATGTCAGGTCATTAATCCTTAATGAGGGACTGATTTTCGTCCTCCAAGTATTGTAGTTAATAAGGGATTGACTCTAGCCCTCAAAGTATTGTAATTAATGAGAGACTGACTCTTGTGTCCCCCCCCCCCCCCCCAATAGTGTTATTAACGAAGGACTGACTTTCTCCATGCAGAAATGTAATTAACGAGGGACTGACTATCTTCAACTCACTTAATCAAAAAACATTTTACCACTAATTAAACCAACTACCCAATTTCCCCTGGATCTTCCGGGGGCCATTTCTAAAATCTAATTTTAAAAAATTCATAAAAAACGTTTTAATAACAAGCTTTTATGTAATAATGCACTACAAAGGAGGAAACTATAAATAACTATAAAGAAAAGCGTGGGTCACTTTAGTACCTATTGGATACCTTTACTAATATTTGAGAAGAGACCAACGCTTTTCTTTATAGTAATTTAAATAGTAGTCTATAATTTATTTTCTACTTTTTAGTGCATTATTAAATAAAAGCTTGTTATTAAAACGTTTTTTATGAATTTTTTTTCAGTACTTTACATGTTTTATTTACAATAGTTACATGACTTTAAACCATTGTTAAGTTTATAGCTAAAGTTTCAGTAAAGTATTATGGGATGGCGTAGTCTAGTGGTAAAGATCCGACTAAAAACCATCGCGCGCCCATTGAACGTGATGACGCGCTTTTGACGTAGAGGCCCCTTCTTTCCACTCCCAACACGGCCGTGATGACGCGTGTGGATAGACCTGCCTACTAATTTGGTCCAAATTTTAATTAATTCATAAAAAATTAATTAGGCGACCAATTAAGTCAAATTGAATGTCACGATGCATTGTCTCCATGTCTTGACCCACGTACCAACTACGAACCGTATCTGTCAATTAGAAGTGCCTGCAATTTCACACGGGCGTTTCGATCTAGACAGACAGACAGACTGACGAGGAAGCGAGTTAAATAAAAGCTTGTAAAAACGACTTTTCTTGTAACACATTTTTTTGGCATTCGTCACATTACTCTTATTTCACAATATCAGTTGAAGCTTCGAATATCTGTCCAGAATTCCCAGAATCAATGTTGCAGTTGAAAGGATTTCGTAAGAAATGATTTGGTCTCTCTTCTCTGTGTTTGTAAAACCTATGTGATAGGATACATAAATATTTGAATGGACTTTCTAAGCGCTATTTTAAGAACACACAGGCAAGGGACCGTCTCGTAGTTTTTCTCGAGGTGTCCAGTTGCAATTGATAAACAACAGTCCGCTGGGTATGATGGTTGAGAGGGGTGATACGCTATAAGCTTTCAGAACTAACACCCCTAGACTATGGGGGTTGAGAGGGGTGATACGCTATAAGCTTTCAGAACTAACACCCCTCACCTATGGGGGTTGAGAGGGGTCATACGCTATAAGCTTTCAGAACTAACACCCCTCCTTTGGGGGTTGAGAGGGGTCATACGCTATAAGCTTTCAGAACTAACACCCCTAGACTATGGGGGTTGAGAGGGGTCATACGCTATAAGCTTTCAGAACTAACACCCTTCACCTATGGGGGTTGAGAGGGGTCATACGCTATAAGCTTTCAGAACTAACACCCCTAGACTATGGGGGTTGAGAGGGGTCATACACTATAAGCTTTCAGAACTAACACCCCTCACCTATGGGGGTTGAGAGGGGTCATACGCTATAAGCTTTCAAAACTAACACCCCTCACTTATGGGGGTTGAGGGGGGTCATACGCTATAAGCTTTCAGAACTAACACCCCTCAACCCTATGACTTGAAGACTACTATGGCTAGGCTTATAAAGTACGTTGCGATCAGCAATTTATTTAACGAAGTTCGTGTCTTCTTGCCGAACCCAACTAACTGTGAGGGTCCCTAATCCCGTACCCCCACAAAACCTAATCTAGGTTCGCTAATTGCTTGCCACCCCACAAACCTACTCTCAAGTCCCTGATCACATACCCCACACAAATCTACTCTAAGGTCTCTAACCCCTAACCCCCTCACAATCCTAAGGTCCCTAACCCCATACCCCTACATAAAACTACTCGAAGCACCCCCCCCCTCCACAAACACCCACAGTTTGCTGTAACCTCAGAAGTTAGTGGAAAGAAAAATCAATGGACCACGGAAACGCCTTGTCATTTATTAGCTAGGATCTGAGTTGTGACTAGTTAGCCAGGGAAAACTCAGCATTCACCAGACGACCGTTTGGCCACTTTTTACTTTTTTACATCCCACACTGACCAGAAGATCTTTTGGCCACTTTTTTTACATCCCATATTGACTAGACGATCTTTTGCCCAGTTTTTTAAATCTCACATTGACTAGGCGATCTTTTGGCCACTTTTTACTTTTTTACATCCCATATTGACCAGAAGATCTTTTGGCCACTTTTTTACATCCCATATTGACCAGATGATCTTTTGGCCACTTTTTTTACATCCCACATTGACTAGACGATCTTTTGGCCACTTTTTTTACATCCCACATTGACTAGACGATCTTTTGGCCATTTTTACTTTTTTACATCCCATATTGACCAGAAGATCTTTTGGCCACTTTTTTACATCCCATATTGACCAGATGATCTTTTGGCCACTTTTTTTACATCCCACGTTGACCAGAAGATCTTTTGGCCAGTTTTTTACATCCCATATTGACCAGATGATCTTTTGGCCACTTTTTTACATCCCATATTGACCAGATGATCTTTTGGCCACTTTTTTTACATCCCACGTTGACCAGAAGATCTTTTGGCCAGTTTTTTACATCCCATATTGACCAGATGATCTTTTGGCCACTTTTTTACATCCCACATTGACCAGAAGATCTTTTGGCCAGTTTTTTACATCCCATATTGACCAGATGATCTTTTGGCCACTTTTTTACATCCCACATTGACCAGAAGATCTTTTGGCCACTTCTTCACGTATCCATAAAATGATGAGACTTGAATCTAAGCGATTCATCTCTTATCTCTTCCTCAATGTATGCTTAGTGTGAGACAATAATATTTAATTTTTTTATTCCCAGACACCAAAACATGTCACATTAGCTATCTATAATACAGAAGTTTTAGAATCAGAATCTACACGACAGGTGGAGACAAACACCGTATAAAACCAGAGACAACAAAATACATTGGACACGTAGGAGGAGACTTCAAGAGAAAGACAGTCTCAAAAATTTAAAGATTACGGCAAATATCAGATGGACTTGTAACTTTAGTTCTTGGTAATTATGTTTTCTTTCTTTTGTCATGTGTGACATGTGACTTGTGACATGTGACATATGACTTGTGACATGTGAACTGTAACTTGTGACATGTGACACGTGACTTGTGACTTGTGAATTTTACATTTGGCATGTGACTTGTGACATATGACATATAACATGTGACATGAGAATACAATAGTTTAAGTGTTGATGTTGAGGACGTGTAGTTGGTGGCCATATAACATGTGACATGCACACCATGACGTGTCACATGTGACATGCACAGCATGGCATGTCACTTTTGACATACCCATCATGACATGGATAGGAAAGTGTTTAGCAGGTTACACACAAAACTTAATGCACGTATATTGTTTACTTTTTAGGTCAACAACCTCATGCAAACATATCAGTGCTAGTTTATTGTATACTTTTAGGTGACTACATTTGAAGGTTAACTCGTATTGTAGTGAGACTCTGTGTACAATCTGTTAACCAAACGCTGTCCTGACAACTGTCGACAGAGATAAAAGTTAAAAAGCCAAAGACATTAAGTTGACCAGCTGCCGACAGTTGTCCCCCCCACCCCCACCCCACTTCCTCTTGAGACTAAAATAAACAACTCATCAAGAAAAAAGCTATTTTTAGAATAGCTTGTCGCTGATGCTATTTTTAGATAAACACTGCAAAAAACTGAACTAATTCAGGTGATAATCTGCTTAAGGGGCGAGTGCAAACAGCGAGGCTCGCTTCTGCTTCAGGCTGGACATATTAGGGCCGTGTGCAAACAGTGAGGTGCTTCCAAGCTTTCCACTGGTCATATTAGGGCGAGATCAAACATCGCCTGAGTTATTTTATCTTAGATTTACAATAACACACAAGGCGACTTGAGGGTGTTCGTGGGGAACTTGTGGTATTTGGCCAGGCGGTGGGCTGTACAGGTGATTCAACTGTTGAGGGAACTTGTGGTATTTGGCCAGGCGGTGGGCTGTACAGGTGATTCAACTGTTGAGGGAACTTGTGGTATTTGGCCAGGCGGTGGGCTGTACAGGTGATTCAACTGTTGAGGGAACTTGTGGTATTTGGCCAGGCGGTGGGCTGTACAGGTGATTCAACTGTTGAGGGGAACTTGTGGTATTTGGCCAGGCGGTGGGCTGTACAGGTGATTCAACTGTTGAGGGGAACTTGTGGTATTTGGCCAGGCGGTGGGCTGTACAGGTGATTCAACTGTTGAGGGGAACTTGTGGTATTTGGCCAGGCGGTGGGTTGTACAGGTGATTCAACTGTTGAGGGGAACTTGTGGTATTTGGCCAGGTGGTGGGTTGTACAGGTGATTTAACTGTT